CTTGGCTCGACGACGCACCGCTTTCGATGGCAGCCGCTGCGGCCACGTCGGCGGGGTCAGCGATTTCGTCCGAGGCGGACGTCACTTGGTCGACCACTTCGGCCGTTTGGGCGTCCGACAGTCCGGCGTCCAACGCAGCCGAAGCCGCAGACGCACCGCTGTCAATGGCGTCCTTGATTTCTTCGACTTGGGCATCGGTGGCACCAACGTCCGCGGCGGCGTCAGCAGCCACTTCGCCTTGCGAGGGGATGTCTTCGGACGCGGTCACCACTTCCGTGATCACTTCGACCGCTTGCGAGTTGGTCAATCCGGCATCGATGGACGCGGACGCAGCCGAGGCGCCTTCGTTGTCGATGGCGTCGGCAATGTAGGCCGCTTGTTGCTCCGTGGCCCCGGCGTCCACGGCAGCTGCCGCAGCAACTTCACCCTGGGTGGCGTCTTCAGTGGTTGTAGCGTCGTTCTCTTGGGTGGTTGTAGCAATGTCGTATGAGCTGGATTGATAGTTGTCCTTTGCAGCAGCAAGGGCAACTTCAGCTTCAGGTACTGAGAGCCCTTGCTCTTCCAAGGTGGTAATGATTTGGCCATCGGAGCTTCCGTTTTGAATGGCGGTCGTGATGTCGGCTTCGGTGCTGGAAGCGTCGTATTGGGAGACAACTGGGGAGTCGTCCGCCGCAGGAGCTGCGTCGTCTTGGGCTTGAGTACGTGCAGCCACGAAGAGCAGGCCAATCAATGCGACTTTTGATAGTTTCATAGTTTAGGACAAAGATTGAACGGGAACGCGAACACAACGGGACAACAGACGCGTCGACAGGCTGCAAATTGCAAGATGAGGTAGGATTAAAGTCATCACCGTTGTTGTTCGAGGCAACTTTTCACAAAGGGGTTGTAGATTGACACATCTCGACATTTGAATGGAAACTTTGGAACAGTCGTTTCACCTTTTCCACAAGGTGACAGCTTCGATGGAAGCTTAGCACTCGTTGGCTGCTGCCATCGAATTTGCGGCGCTTCGGTCACACACAAACAGGCAAAAGAAACATGTACAGTCCTTGTAAACGTCTCTCGGACATCAAGGTTCTCCATCCGCTATCGTTGCGCCTAACACGACAACTCCGAAGCGTGAAACAGTTAGATTTGCACGTTCAAATCTATTTATGGAAATTGAGGGTTGTGCTAAAAAAATGCACTTTCTCGTCGAACGACCTTTTAACAGTAAATGAACGAAAACTGCCGGTAACTTTAGCAGAAATGAATAAATGAAGAATTCATTTGGCTGATAAACAAACCGGATAATGTTTATCCGGTCACTGATCAAGAAAGGCTTGCGATTCTCAATGATGTTCGTGAGCGCCACTCGTCGGCGCGTCCGCCTTGCAGGGCATGCGAGTCGGTCCCTGTCATTTTTCGACAAGATGTTCTCATACGGAGGCAATGATGATGTGAAGGCATCATCGGCCGGAGGAAGCAGCGGGTACCAGCTGGCGTTACTGGGATATGTCGCCGGCACAATGTTCCCCAAGGACTCGTTGAAGCGCATCTTGACCAACGACCCAGGGTTTCTGATGGGACATGTCCTCGTGGGAGCCAGCGAATATCTGCATCCTCGTTTGCACGGCGATTCCCAAGATGCGGTCCGTCGCGTCGACACTGTGAAGGCTTTGCTTGTTGACGGTACCACATCTCGCACCTCCGTCGATGCCTCATTATCCCCCCGTTCACAGGTTCAGCGCAGTCAAAGACTGAGACTCTGCACGTGCATGCACTGAGTGCGCTGGTGGGTGGTCGCTATCGAGAAGCTTCCGTTGCATACGAGACAATTCTCCGCGAAGACGCCACGGACCTCCTCGCTGTCAAATGTGCCGTCGACATCTACACCCTCCTCGGGTCCATCTATCTCTCACGACGACATTGCATGATTCTCATCTTCATTCCTTAGAGACGCGAGGAATATGCAGGACACCATCTCGCGAGTGTTGCCGCAATGGCAGACAAACCACCAAGGATACAGTCACCTGATGTCGCTTCAAGCGTTCGCCGTACAAGAGCGCGGGGACTTTGCTGCGGCGGAGTCGCTGGCCCATCGATCCATGTCCATGAACAACGAAGATGGAAGCGCATGTACGTCGTCGTCCATCGCAGGATCGTTGGTCGTCTCATGAACGCAAGCAGTCCACGCCTTGCTGCACGCGCTAGAATCCCAAGGAAAGCACCAAGACGGCGCGAGTATGGTGCAGCGACATCGCGTACGGCGTCATCCTACTACTAGTAATACTAGTTCACCGACCTACTAGGATGCCTGGTCCGAATACGCGGTCCTCAAGGCGCATCTCACGGTCCATTGGATGTACTTTTTAATTGAAACTGGCCGCTTTGACCGCGTCGTGGCGTTGCTCAAGAACGACGTGCTCGTGCCCGACGAGGTACACAAATGGCTACCTCCAGAAATTCATAATATTGATTCTTGTGGATTCGCTGCATCGACGCTATTGGCTAATCCAATTTAGACTGGATCTGATTGGCTCTTAAGATATAATTTCAGCCAATTACAACATTGATTAGGCAAGTTTATAGCGAATTCACCAGTTATTTCTTTTTATAATTACTAGTATATTTTTTAATACCGACCGTTTCAATGATATAAAGGTGTTGTCGGCCAATGGGCTTGTGGACGTGACCCAAGTGTACTGGCGCCTCCGCTTTGCCGGGTTCGACGTGCCCTTTGTCCTGGAGGAACTGGATCGCCAATGGACGGCCGTCGTCAAGGATGCGGAGACGGTGCCGCTGAGTCCCCTCGCCGCCCTCCATGCGCATGTGCGCCTCCGTTTAGTTTCCTTCCGTCTTGACATCGTGTGGTTGTTAGAGCGTGTTCTCGTTGCTTCGACCAGAATCGGACACCCCGCAAATCTCGGGTAAGTCTGCGAAGCGACAGTGTGTGATGCATACGTACTTACATGTGCACAGAACAATGAATCATCCGACATGTACATAGATCAAGCGTTCGCGTGCGACGTACAGGCCTTACATGCGGCCTGGGTCGGCCAAGGACTTTCCATCGATAGGATTGTCCAATTCAGCCATCGATTGCCTGGTAATACACATATTCAATGCATCCCATCATGCAAGGACCGAATGAGAGGCATGCATGTACCTGTGATAGGCAATGGAGAAGGGCACGTCGTGGCGACTCTGCTCGACGCCATCTCGGCGTATGCCAAGGTGCGTTGCTTTATTATCCGGAGTTTCCGGATAAGGCGACTTTTTTCCATTAGGGGCAATTCCATGTGGCGGTGGACAAACTGCTTTCGGTCCGAGGCCATCTTCACGTACATACGTCCTTGCGTTCTTCTGGGTGCTTCATGCATGGATGTCCGCTAGGTCGTCGGGGGCACCCGCGTGGAAGCCGAGTTCTTCGAACTTCTCCTCGTCGATGCGTGCGTGACACATCTCAAATCGTCTGCATGTTCCTTGGTCGTCTTCATAATGTTTCTTTCTTTGCAGGGCCCGCGCATCCTCGCAACTCGACCTGGCCAAGCTGCTCCTCATCGAACGGTACTGCGTCCTCGTAGCTCATTGCTCAGACAGAATTTTGTTGATGTTCGACTCTACTAGCTTAAATATCAAGCCCCACAGTGCGCAGTACTGGAAAACCTATGGGGACATCATGGAAGACCTCCAGGACGAAGCTGGCGTCGACGGAGCGAGGCGCATGAGCTACGTTCTCGGTAAGAACTCATCAAAGAACTTAGTCCTAACTCGATGTATTTGTAGGATTGGGTCAAGCGGGAACGAATGCAGCATAAAAGCCCTAAATAGAAGGCTCTGGATAGGGTTTAGAGCTAGAATCCACCTAAATAGACAAAAAATACGGAAAAATTGATGTAAATATTCTAGTAATACTACTAGTAACTACTCCGGAGTACATACTAACGTTACAGTTGTTTGGCACGATTTTCAAATCGATGCGCGATGATGTTGAGCGTGGAGGATGCGTTGTACCTCTCGGCACCGACGACTCCCATCAAGTTGGACCAGTTGGAGGACGCCGTGAAGCGGCGCTTCCAGCTTCTACTTGGTGCTAGCCAAGGATCGTTGGATTGTTCCACAATCGAGCGGATGGAACCACTCACGGACATCCATGCGCATTTCGGACTGCGCGTGATATTTGCAGCCCCACCCGAGGATAGTCCAAGCGAGAGCGGATCTCGTGAACATGCTGATATGTGTGCCTGGTACATTAACCAAGAGACTCAGCTCTTCCGCCTTCGGATGTTGCACAGCTTCAAGCGCAAAAGTACCGTTGCGACATCGCGTGCCATTCGCTCTGTTCTTGGCGCCCTGAACGTGTCCTACGACGACGTCGACGGGTACCTTCTGGTCCCTTTTCAGGACGTCCCGTTCCTATTACGCGTTCGATCCGTTGTCCTCCACGCAGGTCTCTGCCGCATCCCGTTCCAGTCCCGCGAAGCCACTGATGTGCTCGCTCACCACGCGCGGCGCCACTTCGCGGCCTTGTTCCACATCCAAACGCGCGCTTGCCGCGTGAATGTGCAAAATCAAGATCTGGAACGTCTGTGGCCCCTGCGGTCGCACGTGTTGGCCGTCCTTCGAGACGCCCTCCGTCCGGCCGTCGACCCTCGACACCTTCAATTCTCGCACCTCCCCCGCGTGACGTCCGACGCCGACTTGCGCGCCGCCGCGCCGTTCCTGCCGCTGTGCATGCGCTACTTGGCCGACAAACTCCGCGAGAACCACCACCTCAAGTATGACGGGCGGAAGCAGCTGGGGCTGTTTCTCAAAGGCGTGGGGTTCACCGTGGAGGAGAGCCTCGTGTTTTGGCGCCAAGCGTTCGACCCGGTCACGAGTGTCCAGATATTTGACAAGAAATACGCCTACAACATCCGGCACAGCTACGGCCTCGAGGGCAGTCGGGTACAGTACGACCCAAAGACCTGCGACGACGTTCAAAAGCTTCCGCCGCCGGCTGCCGGCCAGTTCCACGGGTGCCCATTTCGGCACTGGGACGTCTCGTTCCTCCACTCCCAACTGTCCAAGTATGGCGTGCCTCATGTGGCTCAGATAGCGGACGCGGCATCGCCCACGGCCGCCTGCTTGGCGCATTTGCACGTGTTGTTTCCGCATTCCTACAAACTGATGAATACAAGGAGTAGCAGTAGTACTAGTAGTAGTAGCACCACAACCATGTTGACGCCCAACGTGTGGTTTGACGTTGCCCGGTTGAGTGACGCTAGTACTACTACTACTGTGGCTATTACTAGTAGTAGTAGTAGTGTTGGCACCACAACGGCATCGCAGGTAGCCGTCGTTCAAGTCGACCAGTGACAACGTTTCTATATTTAAAACACATGTCGAGTGCTAATCGTGCGATCGATGGTCTCTATTGCGTCCCTCACAACCCCCGGCGGCACGTCCATGTACTTGGCCAGCATGTCCACGACGTACTCTAGCGGCGCATGCCACGCGCCCAGGCCAGACGTGCGCAGCTGTTGCTGGTAAATCGGATAAAAGCAGCACTGGTCATCTCCTTCTTCGCCCCCTACTTCTCCAGCCACGTCATCACACGGCCATCGCCCCGTGGTCGGATCCGGCACAGGTACCCCGCGGTCATAATGCGGTGCAAACGCCGCCACCGGATTCAGCGCCGCCGTCGCCGACATGTCCGACGTATCGCGGCCGAGACGGTCCAGGGCCTGCACGTGGGCCTCGAGCGCCCGCGGCAGCTTCACGGGGGCCTTCTTAGCGTCGAGACTTTGGCGGCAGAGGTCGACCAGGGCGGGCAAGTGGCTGCGCAGGACGGGGGTCCCATCGTCGGGGAAGCACGAGACTACCATTGACGACGGCGGCTCGTGGAGGTCGTTGGGTCGGAGCGGGTTGAGAGGGGTCCTCCTGTCGTCGACTTGTGGGGCGTTGTACTGAGGACGGACGTTATTGTACTGCCATACGTTCCACCGAGGAGTCATCTTGAGCGCGGCGACTAGCGCGCCGATGAAATCGACTTCGCACTGGATGTACGGATGGTGCAGATGCTGCGGGTCCATGACTTGGGCAGTCGAGTGCCGATAGTACTCGGCCATGAGCTGCGTGTGATGGACCCACACTGCAGGTGGAAACTGAAACGACCGGCACAGGTTGACACAGGCGAGGCCGCTGTTGAACGGCGGCAGCTTCAAGTCGAGGTGGTAGTGGAGGTACGTGGCGTGCTGGGCAACCACGGACGCACACACAGTGTTGGGTTTGGTTTTCGCGTTGAAGTACCCGCGCACGGGGTCGACACTGGCTTGGAGGTCCGGCGGCAGCTGCGCGAGCACGTTGGCAAATGGAAGCTGCCCGGTCGATACCCAAAAGAAGATGTCACTTGTGAGCACACCCAGTTGCCGCACGCGGCAGGCCAAGTAGAGCAGTCCCAGGAGGTGGCGATAGCTGAACTTGGAGAACACTTTGGCGTCCTGTGTGCCTTTGAGATGCAAGTTCCAGTCGGTCTCGTACCCGCTGTCTTCGAGGCGCTGTCTATGAAGGGTTCGCTTTGAAGGATGGATCGTTATTTCGTTCGTTCGCTCGTTATTCGTACCTGTCTGCGGCTTGGGCACTGCTAAAGTCAAGAAACACATTCAGCAGCGGCCGCGACCCCGACACGTCCCACATGCGCAGAAAGTGGAACCACAATGACTGCACCGTGGCCGGCAACTCGGGGTCGTGGACAAGTCTTGCCAACGCTTGCGCTTGAATATGCAGCATGCTTTGAACCACATGGAGACAGTTGTCAAGCGTGATGAGCTGTCGCTTTCGCTTGAGCTTGGCCTGCTTGGGCTCACGTCGACCACCGCTGCGGATGCGTTTCGTGCGGGCGCCAAAGGTGAACGCATCGTCGTCGTCCTGTGTCTCATTGCGGCTTTGTTGGAAGCTCTGCGTCCCACACAGATTGCACACACTCTCGCCCAAGTCGTTTTTCGAAAAGTTCCATTCGCCCGCGGCGCCGCAGGTCCGGCACTTCAGTGTCGAGTCCATTGGAATATTGGTTCACACTATATCCGGTTAAAAATGCCTCTACATTTCCGGATAAATGTTCCACCTCATATCCAATGAACGAGCGTGGTTTCAGAAGAGTGTCTTTTGATTCGATGATTTTCCACCAATGAAATTGGTTGAATGGACAGATCAGATTTGTGCAATTTAAATCGTCTCGTGGGTGGCTGCTTTGGTCATTCGACAAAGCCGAATGGAGCCGCGGTTGTCGTATTGAAACGCCCGCGGCATGTTCGCCACCGCTTCGGCCGTGATGTCGTCGTAATCGATGGCGTGGACATGCAGCTCCTTCAAGAACGCATCGAACGTGGCTTGGTTGCGCAAGGTCGAGGCAAAGATCGCCGACTTCTTCTGGTCGGCGTCGAGAAACGTGGCCAACACATGCACCATGGCGGGAAACGCCGCCACGTCGTACACGCAGTCGCCAGCGATCAAGATATCCCATGGTGTGTCATGCCACTCCCACGCCGTCCAATCCACCAACATGGCCTCCACAAGAGGACACTGCAGTCGACAGGCATGTTCATTCACTTCGATGTTGTACCGGAGATTCTGCATGACCACGGGAGCGTAATCCGTCAAGACTACCGCCGCGGCGACCGAAGGAAGACTGGCAAGCACGAGGCCAGTGAACCCGACGCCAGCGCCGAGCTCCATCACACGCTGACCTCGGAACACGTCAGTGTGGGAAAGGACATACTCGGCGAGGAAGAAACCTGCTTCCCAAAGCTTCATGCCGACTTCGTTGTGGGCAGCGGCGACGCGGCAAGTGATGACGGAATTCTTGCGGTCGTGAACTGCGGCGTCATTGGTCCAGTCAACCGAGCCACCGCGGGGATGAGGTATCCGATACGTCACATGATGCAATTCGTCCAAATCGATGGCGCCAATGGAGGCATTCTTGTGGCAGACATTGGGCAGGATTTCTTCCATCAACACGTCCGAGACGTCGTCGCCTTGACGTTCAATCTCTGCAACCACAACGAGGATAACGACAAGATGTGGAGACGGCAAGTCGGATTGCACACGACGCACCTTGGATGTACAACCTGAGGAGTCGAAAGGTATAGCTTTGCTTGGGAGGGAAGTCATCTGCAATGGGGTCTTGAATGACAAACTGCATGAACCGATCCTGCACCAGTGTCAGCAGTAAGCTCGTTCATGTCTGCGATACCTGGAATTCTAGAGTCAAGTAACTCGAGCAGCTCTTCAGGTTGTGCATTAGCTGGTCCATTGGCGCCATCGCCCGATACAGGTCAAGCAAGCATCGCATCTCATTGTCGACATCCGTCATATCTGGCGCGCTTCTTGCAATAATGATGCCTTTGAAAAGTCCCTTGTTTCAAAAGTCCTAATTGAAATTATGTATTTCGGATATCCTAGGCCAACGACAGGTGAAGGAGGCTTCGATTTCAGCCAATCGCATCCGGCGTTCAAGTGAAGGCGTGTAATTTCAGCCAATCATCTTCTCGAACAGTCTTTCCGCTCCCCACCACAACTTTGTTCACTCTAGCATTTGCCTTCAGCCCACTCACCTTAACATGTCCGAACCCAAGTTCATCCTCGTCAAGACTGCGAAGTACTCCGTGCTCCACCCCACCAAGGGCGCCAAGCCTATGAAGGCTGCCGCTGTCGTCGCCGCGCCTGCCAAGGCCGCCGTCGCCGCGAAGCCTTCCGCTCCTAAGGCGTCGACCCCCAAGGCCAAGAAGCCCGCCGATGACGATGATGATGACTTGTTCGGTGACGACGACGACGACGAAGAAGCTGAAGCCGCTGCCAAGGAAGCCGCCAAGAAGCGCGCCGACGCCGCCAAGGCTGGCAAGAAGGAAAAGGCCAAGCCCGTGGAACGCTCGCAAGTCGTGATTGAAGTCAAGCCTTGGGAAGCCGAAACCGACTTGCTTGACTTGGCTGCCAAGATCAAGGCCCTCCAAATCAACGGCTTGACCTGGGGCGAAGGCCACAAGTTGGTCCCCGTCGCGTACGGCATCAAGAAGTTGCTCGTGCAATGCATCATCGTCGATGACCTTGTGCTCTTGGACGACATCACCGACGCCATCGAAGCGTTCGAAGACTACGTGCAATCTGTGGACGTGGCTTCCATGAACAAAGTCTAAACAACCAATTCACACTTATGATATATTTGTAACATTGTTATGTTTCCAACCTTGTGCTTAAAAAAACCCACGAATCATACATTGTTATAATCGTTATAATTCAACAACCTTCACACATTGTTAAATGCCGCGTTCTACTTTGAACGACCCTTTCTTCTTCGTTGGCTGCGCGACTTTTGTCTCCTTAGCATCTTGGATGTCAATCGGCACCTCATCCGTACCCCCTTTGCTTCCAGGAATCGGACGTGGAGGTCTGCGACGCCCTGCCGCCTTCTCTGTCGCTTCGGCATGGTGGTCGACTCCACTCGCGGTGATTTGGACTTGGGCCGCAATGCAAACCATCCACATCACCAACGTCGCCGCAAAGTAGGCCCACCACGCGCCAGGCATGGCCACCTTCGCATCGGAAGCTCCGTTTCGAAGGGCCAGCAGCAGCGACTCGATGTTGGCAGGCGTGGGGTACTGGCCGATGAAGTTGCCGGCCCCGAGCACGACAAAGAAACTGCCGAGGAACGATGTGCACAGAATCACGACGGGTTTCTCTTCGAAGAACGCAACCAATCCCAAGAGAATGCCAAACGACACCATCGAGATGAGCATGGGGATCTCCGGATGGGCGGCGTTGAGCTGGATGAAGAAGATGGACCCGAGGAACGCGCCGAACCCCACGCCCGCCAATACCCCCATGGCCGCAATGCCAAAGCGATACAAGTAGAGCGCCAGAAGTGCGATGAGGACAGCGCCGACGATGGACAGCGCCAACGAGCCGGCCACGACCCAAGACTCACCGTTGAACGCTCGCGCGCCTACGTCGAAGAACACGACAAGGCCCACAGTGAACCCCGCGGCGAAAAACCCGGCGCGGACGAAGCGGTAGCCGAAGAATCCAAGGACGACGCCGCCTAGGATGGCAATGCCGTAGACGATGCCTGGGGCGATCACACCGATCGACGTGGACGACGACGATGGCGCTACTGCTGTGTCCGACGCATTCAACGATAGGTACGCCGCATGCGCTGAAGTGGACTCGGACAACGAAGACAGACCCGGTGCAAAATCCGACGTGAGCATGAACAAACTCAAGGCCGCGACGGCGGCAATCGCCAGGAACGTCGACCCCAACGAGGCCAGACGGCGGACCTGTGGGGAGAGCAGGATGGATGGAGCGAGGATACGCTTCCGCACATGCGGCGGACCCAGGAGAGGCTCATCGGTGGTGCCACTAGGGAGGTACATACTATGGCCACCAGATCCACTCTCAAAGCCGCGACCCGTGACAGAAACTGAAATTCATGGCGGTTACAGAAATTGCGTATCCGGATAAAAAGACAATTTATCATTGTTGCGATCTTTAACGACGTTTTGGCCGAGTTGCAGGCAAGGGGGTCGACGGCAGGAGGGACTTGGCGGGATCTTGCGCCGAGATGGACGGTGAAGCGGTCGCCGTCGGCACGTCCTTCAAGCCAAGGGCACGGCGGATGGATGGTTGACGGAGCGCCATCGTTTGGGCAAATGAACACCACGACGACGCGAGCCAGTAGAAAAAGATGCCCTACGTTACCACGATAGTATCCCAACGATCAACATCATCCCACAAAGCTGCAATATGCGACGACGTCGTACATACTTGGGGTATCTGGCAAATGAACGGGAACGACAGCAGGGGAATGTACTGGAACTTGTTCTTGAGGGACTGCAACAGCTTGATCTTGGACGTGCCCATCAACTACATAAACCCCGGCATACAGTAAGCGGTCGAGTCGTTTTCAACCCGACGCACCTCAAAGTTCAAGTACGTGCATCCGACCGCCAGCGCCGGCAAGATGAACGTGCTGTCGGCCTCCACGAGGTTCTGAAACAGCCACACGCCGCCGGTGTCGAGGCCATCGACCTTTCCGGACCGCACCAGTTCGCGCGTGCTGTACGCCATGAGGAGAAACGTGGGGATTTGAACCAGCGGCGTCGCCACACATTGAATGGGGTGCGTGTTGTGCTTTTCCCATGTCAACTACAAGCAATATCGCATGATTATGCATGCTAGTATTGTATGCCGAGGACGACGGAGGAGGAGGAGGGGGGGCACCTTGACGCCTTTGTACATGAGTTGGAACGCTTCCACTTGCTTTTGGGGGATCGCAGGCGGCTACGACGAAGAAACATGGTGTGACATTGGCATGTCAAAGGGGTTCGTAGGATGTACCAAGAACATACGGGCGTACAAGTAGGCCTTCCACACCTCACGTGTGTCCTTGGCCGCCTCCGCCATCCTATATGATGACCACATTCCATGCGTGTTGCTTTGTTGATATTTCGCGCTTGTTCTTACCGTTCCGTGGCCTTGATTTGGTACACCATCAATGGAAACAACGTGCCTCGCACTGCGATCGCCGTGGCCTATGTCGTCAACTAGTCAATAAATAATCGTGGAATACTTGGGGAGCCATACACCAAACGTCGCCCACCACGGCAAGCCGGTCGTCACGTGCACGGCCTCGATTAACCTCTGCGCCGCGTCGACCAGTACCCACGGGTCATCGACAGGCACGATGGGTTGATCTACATCGCATTCAAGTTATCGAGGTTGTGTGACTGACGCACGTACCTAACATAGGAAGGGGCGGCACAACACTTCCATCTGGTATCTCACCCAGACCACTCGTCGACTGCGACGAGAATCTCATGGCATGCCGCACAGTCAGGGCGGACGCCGCCGCCGGTCGTCGCAGAAGGCGGAGGATGATCATGGCGACGGGCTTGGCGCGTTTCTGTTCCCCTTATGGCATCAAATACCGGATATGTCACCCAAATACCGGATGTGGTCCTCAAATACCCGACAGCATGTCAACGGCGGAGTGGACCAATCAGAGAATGGTTGGTTCCCATTTTGAAGCGCTCCATTTGCATTTGCATCGTCTCCACATCATGTCGTCGCTCCGTAATGCGGTCAAGCGCCGTGAACACAAGGAACGGTCGCAGCCCCAAGACCGCAAGAAGCTCGGCATCCTCGAGAAGCACAAGGACTATGTCCGCCGCGCACAGGACTTTCACTCCAAGGAGAAGCGCCTCAAGTCGATGCAGCTCAAAGCCGCGTTCCGCAACCCCGACGAATTCTACTACTCCATGAACCAAGCGCAGACGATCGACGGACAGCACGTGTCGACAAACAACCACCGCGACAAACTGACCGCGGAGGTGTTAAAGGTCATGAAGACCCAGGACGTCGCGTACCTCCACATGAAGCGCAGCGTGGACATGTCCAAGGCCGACAAGTTGCGCGCCGCGGCGCACTTTATCGACGCGGAAAAGACCAACACACACAAAATCTTCGTGGACGACGTGTCCGACCTGCGCAAGTTTGACGTCGCCGCGCACTTCGACACGGTCCCCGAGCTCGTAAACCGCGCTTCCAACCGGTTGCGGAAGCGCGACCTGGCCCATCTGCAGCTAGCGGCGCCGGCCGCGTCCTCGAGCCACGCGTACACGGAACTATCGAATCGCATGGACCGAGCGGACAAGCTCAACCGCATGCGGCAGCATCTCGACCTGGAGCGGGCGGTGCAGGCCAAGGGCAAGAAGTTCAAGGTCGCAGACGGCGTCGACGGCGCGCCGCCAGTGTACAAATGGAAGCGCGTGCGCACGAAATAAATAAAATACCAGCTATATTGACACACGACGATTGTCTCTTACATACTATTTATTCTACGGCTCTCTATGCTTCGTTGATTGCAGTCCCGGATCTATTTGCGGGCGGCGAACTCTTCGATGGCGGCGGCGGAAGGAATGCCGACGGGGGCAGGTACCCATGCTCTTGCCCCACGTCGACCACCTCGGGGTGGAACGTCGAGATGTCTTCCATGAGCAGCGACACGAGCGCTTCCCGCGTGAGTTTATCGTCGGGGATGTCAAATCCAAAGTCAAATGGCGGCGACAAGACCAAGTCGGCGGCATCGTAGAACGCTTCCAGGTACGGATGATGCAGTGCGTCGAGGACTGAGATGCGCTTGGCAGGGTTAAACACGAGCATGTGGGCCAGCAAATCCATCGCCTAGTTTGTTTGCCACATACTAATGGGTTAGACATATATATGACATAATGGTTTAGACATATATATATATGACAAGGGGGAGATACAAAGGTAATGGTTTAGACATATATATATATATATATGACATATATATATATATATATATATATGACATGGTGGTTTAGACATACATATATGTGACACAAGGAAGGGGGAGATACAAAGATAATGGTTATATGTATATGAATGACATGGTGGTTTAGACATACATATATGTGACACAAGGGGGAGATACAAAGATAATGGTTTAGACATATATATATATGACATGGTAGTTTAGACATATATATATGTGATACAAGGGGGAGATACAAAGGTAATGGTTTAGACACATATATATATATATATATATATGACATAATGGTTTAGACATATATACATATATGACATGGTGGTTTATATGTGTGACAAGGGGGAGATACAATGTATGTACATACTTGGTCACTGGCGGCAGGAAATGCATCGGCCAACTTGGTCGCCTTGTAAATCGGCAGTTTGGCCAGGAACCGCTGCGCCTTGGCGTTCTTAACAAACTCCACTTCGTCCACTTTGGGCGTGCCCATAAACTTGACGATGAGCTTGAGCTGATGGATGTAGTCGTTGCCTGGGAACAAGGGTTCCCGCTGAATCATTTCCGCCAAGATGCATCCCACCGCCCTACATGATCGATCATCCGTATGTACGTACATGAATACTAGGATGATACAGTACCACATATCCACGGCCTCGGTGTAATGCAAGCAGTTGAGCATGATTTCAGGTGCACGGTACCACCTTGTGACAACGTACTCGGTCAGCTCGACGTTTTCAGGACACCCGCCGCGGGCAAGTCCAAAGTCGCAGATCTGTCACATATTTCCCAAAACGATTTAAAAAAACGGCACAATTGAAAGGATTTGTCCTGTACTTTGAGGTCGCAGTTGGAATTGAGCAAGATGTTGGACGGCTTCATGTCTCGATGGATCACACCTGGATATATATATATTATACAAGCCCATATTGAGACGTTCATTTCCATTGTCGTTGTATGCGTATATATATAATATATTTATATAAATATAATATAATAATATATAATATAAATAAAATAATATATAAAATAATATATATATAATATATATATAATATATGTGTACCTGCCGAGTGGATGTGATGCAACGCGCAGAGGATTTGGTAGAGAAAGTATTTCACGTGGTCGTCTGACATGGGCTGCATGCTATAAATCACTTGGTGGAGGTCCGTTTCCTAGCGAAAAATGCATGGGTTTCAAATATATATACTTGGAAGTATATATATATATACATCGTCGTCACAAACATACATATCTAATACTGTTTCGAATTGCTTCTTTGGATTTGCAACGATCTATACCTTTACAAATATATATATATATATATATAGTTACAAGCAAGTACCATGAGCTCGGCGATGATGTACATGTCGTGAAACGCTGCACGAGACGGCGGCGGCGGCAAATCCAGCAACCTCGTGATATTTTTATGGTTAAAGTGGCCCAGCAGCCTCGTTTCCCGCAGGATTCTCTACGAAGTAGTTCTCGTTTATCCAACACCTGTGACAATGCGTTGTACCTTGGCGTCCACGAGGTCGTCAAATATATTGGAGATCTTCTTGACCGCAACGCTGTCGCATGTTTCGTCGTTGGTGGCCGAGATCACAGCGCCGTACGCGCCCGTGCCGATTGGTTTGATGAGTTTGTACTTGACGTCCAGTGTAAACACTTGACCACTGGCGCTAAAGGAATGCACCGCACGGACGGCCGAGCTTGACAGTCCCGGCGCGACCCTCGGCACTACATTACAATAATAAATATTACAATCCACCCCGAACCAAAAAAATCAAGTCGTCGATACTGTCGAATCCCATATATATTGTGAATTCGCTACAAGCTTCCAAAAGTAGTGAGGTTTGTGTAATCAAGGTTAAATCACGGTGGAGCTCTCTGATTGGTTGAATATATACTTGTGTTTTCTGTAAGAGCCAATCAAATCCACTGAAAATTGGATTCGCCAATCGCGTCGATTTGTGATTCGATTCAGCGGTGAGATACTTGATTACACGACGGGGTCTGGAAATCCGTATACCGAATCCACACTATATATGTATGACTGCAGGCAGACAGATATATATTGTTTTCAAATTGATATATTCGAAACTGGAGCCTTCAACAGAATCGAATGTCTGAAGAGAATATGGATTAAACAACCGTCTGGGCCAATCAAATCAATTTCGGGTAAATTTCTGCCAATCCAAACGTTTGACTCAGTGGCATTGGGCAAAACCATATATATACTGATCCTTTTTATAGTATAGTTTGAACAAGCGTAAATTGGATGATCAATTTGAGATTCGAATGCTATTAATATTATCACAAGTCCAAATTTGAGTGAAATGCACATATATCAAGGGCATGATGTGCTGTACCTTTGCGAAAGAAGCGGTCACCTAGTACCGATGCCGCCTGTCGGCCAGGTTGCTTGTCGGGTGACAATGACGGTGACGATAAGTGCGCCGGTGACGTATAAGCTCCTGGCCTGGGCTCATCCGTTCCTCCAGGGGGCTCTTGGTTATCACCAGCGTCGTCGTCGTTGTTGTTGAACTCGTGGGTTTCAGGACCCGTGTCCATGTGGTTGTTGTTGTCATTGTCGCGCAGTTCGTCTTCGAGCAAGTTGGCCGCCGCCATCGCCGCCGCCATGGAAGCATCATCGTCGTCCGGCTCGACGACGACGTTAATGCTGCTGCTGCTACTACTCTCTTTACGTGGCGTGGGTGCGTACTTTGGGGAAGGCGTCCACCCTGTCAAGGTCGAGCGAGGGGGTGCCGGCATCCTTTCAAACGCCTCGTGGTGCTGCGGCGGAGGGGGTGGCGTGGGCTTGCCCAGCTGGCTCAGCTCGAAAATCGCAGTTTCCAACGCGCATATCCATTGCTCCAGTCCCCGAGCTGTTGGCGTCGCAAACTGCACGCACTGGTTTGACGTCGGTCGCAAGAGCTCGAACGTGTGCACGACGGGGGCCGCGGATTCACAGTCGCTCACGTCGCGCACAATGTCATGCTCTGACAGTACGATTTCCCCCAAAAGGATAAGATCTGATGGACTTCGGTACTGGCACAAAGACCACGCGTCGGACCGCAGAATGCAATAGCACGGCTATAGCAGGCGGCCCTCAAGCAACAATATATATATGGTGGAGCGAGCGGTCTGTCGTACCTTGCTGGAGAAATACTTGCTCGATGAGATTTTGGTCAGCATTCCTTCCATGACCACGTCGTCCTCTGAGAACTGCATGGGTGAGTCGAGGTTGCTTGGGACATCCCGCTTGAACAGTCGTGCGATGGACGACTTGTGCCGTGTATGGTACATCCGCCGCGACGACGTGCCGACACTATTGGCATGGCACGATGCCTGGCTGTACTTGCTACTTCGACTCGCTGATGATCTCCCTGACACACTCGTCATGGCGCGACTGGCCTGATCTATTGTGGGCGGCTTTTACCTCGAGTATGTATATCCTGTAACGGACACTTGTTACCGTTCGAAGTATTTCAACCGATGAAACCACTTGCCTTCACTATACCCGGCGTTCCATCGAATTTTGGATCTTTCCGCCTTTCGTATCCGGAAATGACGTGGACGTATCCGGATGATGTTTTCAGGTTCGAACACCACATGTATGCACTCACATGTACATGCATTGCCGTCGCAAACCAAAGGCATGTGAAGCAAGACCAAGGGCTGTACCTGGTAGACTGGCGGCGCTTACAGGGTTGAATATGACTTGCCGTGAGCTGAAAGGTTGTCTCGGGGTGGATTCGAGTGCTATAAATAGCTGCGAGTGGCCAGCATATGTACGTGCTGTACTTGCTAGTCATTGGCGCCGCAGCAAGCATCCATGGAACAGGAGAGCATATTGCACATACAAGCAGCACCGTCGCGGGTCCTCGACGGTCGGTCGCTGCAGCAATGCCATGTGACCGACTCACGCGTAGAAGAGACCTGCGTCGGCTACTCCAAGGATCGGTACGACCCCGACCACCCAGATGCCGACTGGGGCGGAATCGTGAATCGAACGTTCAAGAAGCGCATATTTCAAGACCACGTTCCCACTCGAAGTGTATGTTGCTTCTCTTTCGTTGCATTTTGGCGGTGAGCATTCACATGAGTTCGATCGTAGCGCCTGATTCCGGCCAAGGGGGGCCTCTTGCCGGCCATCGATTCAACATCCACGCCACAGCGGCGTGTGTCGAGCAAGCGTATCTTCGACAAAGACATCAAATTCGTCAGTAACGATGCGGTACACACACAGTCACCGGGACACGATATCGGTATTCGTACAGCACAAATGATGTAGAGCATGCATTTTTAATAGGATGCCAGAGACACTCCGTTCCGTACCGGGGTGCATCAAGTAAGTACGAGTATTCATCGCTATCTGCGTTCATGATGGAAACGCTCTTCCAGATGGGACCTGGAGGGCGGCATGATTGCTCGGACTGGAAGACATCGTATGCAGCGCAGGCAGAGCGGGAAAACAATCGAGGGAACATACACGAGGATAAAGACGCACCTGGCAAAGTCAGGTCGTTGGGACAAGAGTCGCATCGACGGCAATTGCAACCATTGGTATCCCGCATGCATGCAACGCACTTGACATCCTGATGTGAGAATGTAGTACGATACGCAAACCAATGCTCGGCATGGGGTATTGCCCAGAATACCCACGGTAACGACGCTATTGGCCTACTCAGTGCTGATACTCGTACATATCTCCATAGGAACCCTCGTCACGACATACGCCAACAAATCGAGACTTGAATATGGAGCCTCGACGCGGTATGTCCATACTGTCGGGCATCGGGCAGTCGCTGGCTTCGTCCGATGCATTCCAGTCTATCAAGTACACATCGCTGTTTCAATGCAGCCTTGCTCGGCAACCTTACTGACCATCCCCTTTAGGCGACCGACCCCACATATCCAGTCCGGCTTCGACAACCCAGCCGATAAATCGCTCTTGGTCGAAAACCAGTAAGTCCTCCAGATCCGTCGACTTCGTTGCGATCGCTCATCACCTACGGGTTGTCGATCATAGTCATAGCGTCCTCCTGGGGTACACCGGGCAGCGCCGTGACAAGTGACGGACTGGCGCTGCGGAGGAAGCTTCAACTGTGCATTTCGCGCGCAGTTTGAAATGTGGAATCCGGTTAATGTATTCGGCATAATGTGGTAAATAAAACAGTTTCTTTTCTATACGATACTTTGCGATAGATAATAAAATAAAGCAAAGAATCGAAGTACAAATCTTGGATTGCAATCAGTGGCAGTCGACGAAGCACGCAAGATGACTGCAACGGCGGCAGTAAGCAACGAGATCTCGGAGCGGTTGATCGGCGCCCGCAACGAGCGGGGAATTCCGTCGGCGATCTTTGTGGATGATGTCGTGACATTTGTGGGCGCGGACCCTGTGGAAGGGATCATTGGGGCGCTGCAGCAGTTGTTTAGCAAGTACAAATTCATGGAAACCAACTTGACCAAGACCAAGCAGTCGCTCAAGGTCAAGGTCCCCGACACAAAGAAAGATCTGGCCATGCTGGAGCATTTGATTTCCCAGCGCGGCAAGGACGCGGACATCGAAACACACTTCAGCTTGGCCGACAACGTGTTTGCCAAGGCTACGATCGACGCGGAAGTGCAGACCGTATGCATATGGTTGGGGGCGAACGTGATGGTCGAGTACTCGTTCGACGAAGCGCTGGCGCTGCTGAAGAACAACCTCCACACTGCCGAGCAACGTCTGGAGCAAATCGAGTCCGACTTGGGGTTCCTCCGCGACCAAATCATCACGACCGAAGTCAACATGGCGCGCATTTTCAACCACGACGTGCGACGTCGACGACAAGAAAAGCAGCAGCAGCTGCCGCCGCATGTGAAGGCGTAAGATGTTCACGAACCGACTAAGATGACGTTTGGCGTGTTGCTCTTCCTTCCCTTCAGTTTCGGTACAGATTATAGACCACGCTAAGTGCAGTGTATTCATGTCCCTCGAGGCAATACAGCCTTTACTTAATTGGTAGAGTCTACTAAAGCAGCAGCCTCAGTAGGCCATGCGCTCCCACCGTAGCCGAAAACGAACATGACTTGTCATTATTCACAGCTGTCGTCGTACCTGCACTTGGTCATTGCATGATACCAACACCGCAGCACACTTCCTAGCTGCTTCCCACAGCATGACACCCCTTGTTCACAATCATGTTGGTCGGGGGAGATCCCCCAACTGGCATCACCGTCGAGTCACACTCTTTCGCACTTAACAGAACAGACGACACTGTAACTGCCACGCAGTGAAACTGTCGTGTGTAAAAATACCCCAGGCTTGGCATACGTAGGAGAGGCCGCACACTGAGCGATGTCGTATCGCCTCATCGAAGCCAGATTTCAAATGCTGGACGAGGCCGTGGCCCGCCTCGACAAGTCCAAGCACACAAAGCTCAACGCTTCCGTCGGGCTGCGCGGCTCTGTGCGGATCAACCCCCACGATGTCGCGACGTGGATCAGACCCAGCCATCCTCGCTCCTCGACGTCCATAGCGCCGCCGTCTTCTTCTTCTTCGTCCGACAGTAGCAGTCCGGTCACACTCATCTCGCCGGCTGGACCCAGTTTCAACCAGAGCACCCACGACGTGCACTTGACTCTCCGCCGCAGTACGCTCCTCAGCCGACAAGCCAAGCCTGACGTACACCCGCTCATCGTCCACCGCGCGCCCGCGTCGCATGACTGGGGCCATCCACACGACGAATACGACGATGACGACGACGGATGTCTGGCGCCCGTCGACCCGAAAGAGGCCAAGGTGCATCGCGTGGCCCATGATACATGGGAGGTACAGTACATTCACGTGGACAGAGGAAGGACGGAGGAATTGGGTTGAATGCATGGTTCATGGTTGGTGTTCCTAGTGCATCAACACTGAAATCCAAGCCTCGACAGTCTTGACGCCGGGCCATCCTGTACGACCGCGAGCACCAACCTTCCTCTATGATAGATATCAACATCCTTGGCTTGTAGAGCCGCCTCGTTAAGTCCGCCACGGCCGCGCGGTCGCAAGGCGCGACCCGGAGTCATCGGCGTACGGGTATACACGTTGCTTTATGCTCGTTGGTCACATGAAAACGAGTAGGACACCCTGCCATCAACTACGAATCAACAGTGGACGAGAACGAGCAACGAGGTCTTCACATTGTTCCGGAGGCGGCAACACACTCGTCGTCGTCCGCGGCAGACAACCAACGGCAGCAGCCACACCGACATGACCCACATCAACCGGTAGGACGTCCCATCACGCGCGGTCGACTGGTGAGGCAGCCATGGATGCGGCACCCCGACACATCCCGTCGCAACTGGTTCACCCATTCAGATCAACACCACCACCACGGCCCAACGTCCGTGTCCACACATGGAGATTCCACGACAACGGCTGGTTCATCCAAGAACCGGCGCCACCGACCAACGACCGCCTCCCCAGGCCAGAGCTCCTCTGCTTCGCTTCGTCCGCAACCCCCACGGGGCAGCGACGACCCTGCCTACTACTACCTCGAAATCCGGCTCGAACATGCCACTTCCTTGGCAGGCTGGACGTTCCGCGTGATCGTCACCGACACCACGCACCCGTCGCAACCCGCCGCCCTCTTTAACCGCATGCAGGTACATATGTACAACATACGCAGCCTATGCATGTGGATGCATGTCATTCCTAATATGTGGAGAATGGGTCTGAACCATGTTATTATGTGATGTTGTAGTGCAACGCATCCAACTGCATCGTGTTTGACAAAGACCCGCCGATCCCATCCACATGGCCATCCTCGTCCAAGAAGAAGCATGTCAAGACAACAGCGACGGAACCCATCCTGCGCTCCACCATCTTCGACCCCACGCGATACTTCGACCATGTCAGCCAACCCATCGATGTACGGTACCATGCCTAAATAAACTCATGCCTAGTCTCGGTGAACCACGCCTAAACTAGGTGCATTGGGTTAGGGTTAGTGTGTATTCTGGATAACGTCATGATGTTGTGTCGTTTGAGTAGTTGTATGGCCATTCGTTGCGTATTCAAGTCGTGTCCGAGGGACCCGTGCAAAAGACCATTGTCGACACGATGGTGCATTTCACAGACGCCAACAATGGTACGTGGATGCGCATGACGACAATGCTATGTGATGGCATGGATGCGCATAAGACTGTGGAGGATGGGTCTGTTTAAATCGGTGCGTAGGCGCGGCCTTGTCGGCGGACGAGCTGCTGCAGGTGCTCGGTGGAAGCAAGCCACCACCACTTGTCGTGGACGATAAAACACCCGAAGAAGCCCCGCCAAGCACCCACGACAACAGCGAGTACATTTACCGCAATCACTTTGAAGCGGTCTACGCGTAAGGAGCTACTGGAAGGCAAGGTGGCTCCATGGTCTGATGATGCTGCATTGCATAGGACGGACGTGATGCCTAGCACGTCGGCAAACAAGGTGCACGAAGTCATGGCGTACGTGCTACATGTGTTAATCGTATCATTCAGTCGACGGACGATACTAATGCTACTTGTTGAATGGAGCAGGGAGAAGACACCAGCACCGATTTCGACTGGAACGATGGCCAACGACGTAGAAGGAAAGAAGCGAGAACTTCAACGCATGCGTGAGTCAATGATGGTACGTTGGACGAGTGATGGCTCTCCCTCATGGAGCCTGCACGTAGGACGGCATGCTTCGGGAGCAGCAGCGGCTATCGTTGCTCCGTTGACAGCATGAGATCGTGTAAATATAGTAATTTTTTTTTGTTCGCGCCAGAATGGTAAAAACTAATATACCGGGTATGTATCTTTCGGGTATTTGGGTAATTGTGTCTTCAGCCACGTTCACTAGCACTTACCTTTCCCACACTACGAAGACAAACGAGCCTCCATAAACCGTATGTATGTACATGTAGTAGCGTCGTTATGCAGAGAATGCCAAAGTCGTTCGTGTCTTGCCTTACCCGCGAAGGAGTCAAATACCGAGTAAATACCCAAATACCCGGTGTTATTGAACTACTTTTGGAGGTTATTTGCTTATGTCATTTTTTGAATTTTTGAACGCCGTTTTCGCCGTACATCATTGGCCAAATATACGTCGTTCCCTGCCCACGTCACGTCGAGCGAAGGCTTCTGGCGAATGGAAGAGTGGCCAAGCGAAGAACTTCATCTGTAGTCGAGGTATACGGATCCGTCATGCACGCTTCCTTGGTTGACACTCGCACCATGCATGTGTAGCACCCCCCAACATTGGTTGATGAGCAAAAAGATGAAACCTGCCCTTGAAATCTTGCTCGAGCGCGAACGAGAGCGCATGCAACAACGACAAGAAATGGAAGATATGATGCAGCACTCTGATCTCTTGCGAAGCATCAGCAACGTCCATCCGACGACGCTTCCTGACCCACGATCCAGTGGCGCGAACCACCACCAACCACCGCAGGGAGGCCTACTGCCGCCTCCGACGAAAAAGCGGCGTGTAGACACCCTCCAGCAGTATCCTTCTTCCGCAATCGCCGCCCCCGCCTCCAGTCCTTCCACATCGGGCTCCATCACGTCAACACCAGGACATACTCCCACGAGTACACACGACGGCCCGTCGCCTGCCGCGACGTCCACGCCACCCATGCCAAGGAAGGCGTGCAATTGCAAAAAGTCCAATTGCCTCAAGCTGTACTGCGAGTGTTTTCAACAAGGGTCGATGTGCGGCAGCGACTGCAATTGCCAAGGGTGCCACAACAGCCTCGTACGTAACCAAACGTTTCGTTTGTCCTGCATGTTGCATGGTTAGGACTTTGAAAACCAACGGCAACGCGCCATCCGCGTCGTCCTCGAGCGCAACCCCGTCGCCTTCCTTCCCAAGGTGTCCACGGGGTAAGCCGCCTTCCATATACATGCACGTGTGATGGTACCTTGTAGGGCCAACTCGGTCGCTACGACAAAGTACTTTCGCGGGTGTCGATGTCGACGCAGTGGATGCTTGAAGAAATACTGCGAATGTTTCCAAGCTGGCGTCAAGTGCGGCACGTTGTGTCGTTGTCAGGTATGTTCACTACTTCTTGTGGCGTCGTCGCCAATTCTATCTTGTATATTATATATATAGTATTATTTATATATATGTCGTGGATGTGTTGCCACTATATATATTAATTATACCCATGTATTTGGCGATATTTTATTATTGTTAGATGTGTAAAAACTGCAACTCCGATGCTACCAGCGACCACCACCACCCTCCCCAAGTGCCACGTCAGCATGACCACCATCCTCCTCCTCCTCACGCTCCCGACCAGGTATTGTCCTTTTACCCAAATATTTGGACTTTTGTGCGGATTTGCCAACTCTATCGATATCGATTCTTTGACTTTTGTACGTAAACTCACACTAATTTAAGTCACACACTAATTCCACATTGTATTGGTCGAAGAGAGGATAATTTGATTGGCTACTTGATTATAAAGGTCTGGTTTTTGATTGGTCGATCATCGATTGTGTGCCGATTTGGTTCGTCTGCTCATACTCGATTGAGCACCACCCAAACTCTCCAATTTCGAATCTATCGACAATAACCCATATATATATATATATAATATATACATGTGTTTGCTTTGCCGACGCCTGGTGCTGTTGTCCCTTTAGCGCGACATCCTTCGTCCTCCTCCCCATCATGCGATGCACGCCGCGGACGCGCCTGCTGCTGCTGCTTCTTTGTCCTCTTCCCGCCGCGTAGTTTCAACCATGCCGCCGTCGTTCCCTCCATCATCGACGTACACGACCAAAGCGTCCAAGCCCCACGTGCTGTCACATGCCAAGCGCAAACTCGTAGATCCATCCAAGTACATGGAACTTCCGGCCGTGGCGGGGGGCCGACCCGCCAGCTCCCGCCTCTTGAAGCCCCAAGTGTCGTCGCGCCTGTACCCGCTTGAGACGAGCCTCGCCACGGACGCGTCCGTCCAAAAGATCTGCCTCGCGCTGGTGCATGCCGCCTGCGTCGACGACAAACTCCTTCCATCTTCTTCGACCCCGCGGCCGCCGGTGAATGGCGGCGGCGCGGCGTCGCGGGTCCCCATGACGCCGTTCACATCGCCCCTCAAGACTGCCATCTCGCCGCCGTCGTTCCACTCGCCGTCCGTCGACGCGTTGTTGTGCAGCGAAGACATGGAGTGCACGCCGCAAAAGGGCAGTGGCGGTATGACTGGTGGAGAAGTGGACCAAGACAGACGCAGCGAACTGCAGGAGAAGGCCGTGCTCCAAGAGTTTAGCGTGTGGCTGCGAAACCTCGCCACTGCCAGCGTCAACCACGTGATGCAACACTCGACGCCGTAGAGAGAGATCGATGTTGCTTGGAAAGATGGAAAGTACTAGGAAGTTTATTTAAGACCGCAAATAGATGATGGCAAAAAAAGGACTCGTTGAGCAACTCATGATTCTTCCATTCTTGTCGGCCAAGTATTGTACAAGTGCAAGGTCGTACTAGTATACAGTACTGTATAAGTTACTTACTAATAAATTTATACTGGAAGCTCCAAAGAACAACAAGTATTAATACAAGTCGTACTATTAATACATACTACAGTAGGTTTTCCGGTTACGTACAAATAATATTATATCTATTGTGCTTTTCATTGTGTTGTTCTCGTTGGAATTTAAATCGATTTGATTGGCTACCTCAGATGAGCTCAATCTTATTAGCCAATCAAAACCTTCTCAATGAAATTCAACCAATCAGATCGATTGTGGATCGGTTTGGTCGGCGCGATTCGATTCCAAATTTGTATCAAATCGACAGTACCTGGAAGGAGTATACCCATTGTCAAGACAATAACCTATTTTGACTGAGATACAGTTGTTCAAGGCTCTACAAAGTGAAACCTGTTACTAGTATCAATCATTTCCAATCGGAGGTAGTAATATTGTGAATTCGCTACAGTATGAATTTCCAAAATATGTCGCGTCAATATTGAATCATCACGCTGGAAGTTGTGATTGGTTGAATACAGTTGTCCTTCGTTCGGTAAGACCCAATCAAATCCACTCTCGCCGGCGAGATTCGACGGGACCACAATACAGAGAACCGAGTAGTATATGCGTAACGTTAATACTCGCATGAGTATACTACTTACTACTAGTAGTAGTATGACTACATAGTGTATACTACTTACTACTAGTAGTAGTAGTATGACTACATAGTATACTACTTACTACTAGTAGTAGTATGACTACATAGTGTATACTACTTACTACTAGTAGTAGTAGTATGACTACATAGTATACTACTTACTACTAGTACAGCGAACTGCAGGAGAAGGCCGTGCTCCAAGAGTTTAGCGTGTGGCTGCGAAACCTCGCCACTGCCAGCGTCAACCACGTGATGCAACACTCGACGCCGTAGAGAGAGATCGATGTTGCTTGGAAAGATGGAAAGTACTAGGAAGTTTATTTAAGACCGCAAATAGATGATGGCAAAAAAAGGACTCGTTGAGCAACTCATGATTCTTCCATTCTTGTCGGCCAAGTATTGTACAAGTGCAAGGTCGTACTAGTATACAGTACTGTATAAGTTACTTACTAATAAATTTATACTGGAAGCTCCAAAGAACAACAAGTATTAATACAAGTCGTACTATTAATACATACTACAGTAGGTTTTCCGGTTACGTACAAATAATATTATATCTATTGTGCTTTTCATTGTGTTGTTCTCGTTGGAATTTAAATCGATTTGATTGGCTACCTCAGATGAGCTCAATCTTATTAGCCAATCAAAACCTTCTCAATGAAATTCAACCAATCAGATCGATTGTGGATCGGTTTGGTCGGCGCGATTCGATTCCAAATTTGTATCAAATCGACAGTACCTGGAAGGAGTATACCCATTGTCAAGACAATAACCTATTTTGACTGAGATACAGTTGTTCAAGGCTCTACAAAGTGAAACCTGTTACTAGTATCAATCATTTCCAATCGGAGGTAGTAATATTGTGAATTCGCTACAGTATGAATTTCCAAAATATGTCGCGTCAATATTGAATCATCACGCTGGAAGTTGTGATTGGTTGAATACAGTTGTCCTTCGTTCGGTAAGACCCAATCAAATCCACTCTCGCCGGCGAGATTCGACGGGACCACAATACAGAGAACCGAGTAGTATATGCGTAACGTTAATACTCGCATGAGTATACTACTTACTACTAGTAGTAGTATGACTACATAGTGTATACTACTTACTACTAGTAGTAGTAGTATGACTACATAGTGTATACTACTTACTACTAGTAGTAGTATGACTACATATACTAGGGGGTACGATTGATTATTCATGGAAACTCAACCCTGTAGGTGGTGGGCAATTCCAATTCACTTGCCTGTTGAGTTATTTTCTTCGTTGGATTGGTTGATCTTTGCATATCGATTATGACTTGTCCTTTTTTATCCCATCGAGAACGACGCTTCTTGCGCCAAGATCCACTCGACGGCGTCGTCCACACCGTCCACGACGACGTCAGCCGGGTGCTGCTGGTGGTTGTCCACGTCGGTGAAGATACCCGTCCGCACGAGCACACTGGTCCAGTGGTCCCCGGCGTTGTTGGCTCCTACATCAACACATGCAAGTAGTACCTCTTTTTTCTTACTAATACAAACTTACCTTGAATGTCACTGTACGGGTTGTCTCCAATTCCGTAAAATCGCTCGACTTTCGCCATGCCAGCTTGCGAGTGCATCACGTGTTCGGCAAACCTAGTATTTACGTATCGTAACACTATTTGGTTTCATACACTATTTGGATGTAACGTACCGATACGTGACAGCATGCGGCTTGCCAAAGCGATGGACTTGGAGAGATTGCCCAGTGTGTTGTTCGTACAATAGCTGCAAGCACCTCGTGAATGCACCTGTATGAAAAAGGGATCATAACTAATAATATATATATATAATGAAATATAAGAAATCAATCATATAATATATATATATATATACCTTATATATATTATATACATAGAAAAAATATGATAGATATATACAAATGGACCTTGGGCGAAGCGAGGGACGGGGTACTCGCCACTGAAAGTAAAGTCGTCGTTGCTGACAAAAAGAGGAGTTTGGCGACCCTGTTTGTGTCCAGACCCGAGCGGAGTGCCGCCCACGAGGACGTCCACGGCAATCTGGAGATCTTGGGCCCAATGGATCGGATCATGCAACACGACGATGGCGTCAATGGGCTCGTCGGGAAATGGACTCGGTCTACAGACAACATGGGCTCGCTGTGTGTGTACCTCGTTGGAGACATGTCAATATATGCGTACGTGGGGTCCCATTTCACGAATGGGTACTGGGATGGCGACTGCCGAGCGATGTCTTGCACCGACACGACCTTGTTGAACCCATAGTGCTGGGCCTACATCACACATGTGTGAACATGGTCACTTGAGAGGCCGCGCCGCCATTGTACCACATCCATGACTTCGTATGCGCCGAGCACAAGCACCTTGGAATCTATTCCCACCTCGAGATCACGCCACAATTCTAATCCAGCTCTAGGCAACACTGCTTGTGGACGTACTTCCAAACGTTTTGGCAAGATCTCGCATCGGAGTATGCGACAAGATCATTTGCTCGTGACGCAGAGGCAGGTCCAGGATTTGACTCAGCGTGTGCGTCTTTTTCTCTTCGCGACACCCGCCGCCATTCGTCAAGAAAATGTGCGGGACTTGCTTCTGCTGGAGCTGGCGGATGATCTTGGCGGCATGGGGCAGCGCCTTTCCGCCTCTACACAACATACATCAATCACCCTATGATGACGCAAGATCGCCGCACCGAATCAGGACGCCGTCAATGTCGAACGCAATGCCGAACCGATGCATGACTGACAAATGGCGCGAATTTGAGTGGGCCAAAATCTCCGGATAAATGACTACGTATCCGTACTTGACCTATCATATTTTAAGACTTGCACTTACAGTTATTCTAACCGTTAACGTTATTTGAAGTTTTTATATATTTTTTGCGAGATTCTCCGTACCTAGGGCAGGCGGCTTGGAGCAAGTTATTAATTTCAGAGGTTTCACTTTGTATTATATGCTAATATAATATTTATACGTTCTTAGAGGTCATACGTTATTTCGGGGCCAAAGTGGTCTATTTCAAGTGCGTTTAGTATTCATTTCCACGTATGACATCTCAAGGAAGTTTTCTTTGTGGCGGTGAGTTCAGCACACATACAAAATTTCAATGAAAATGATCAAATATTTCTTCAGAAACTCACATTTGTCCCCTCGACGCCAGCGACCACTGTCAGTACAATACCGTATTATGCTGAATGTGCAAACAAATTTACTAAGCTTACTTACTACCGGTATATCAAATCAAAAGGAAAAATGAATATGAATGATTAACTCTAACTACTGTAGTTACATCCAGTCTTCGTCTTGTTCCTCAAGCACAAAGTCGTCGTGCAGATCAGCGTTAAGGAGTACGAAGTCTTCGCGAACCACCACGCGTGGGCGCTTACGCAACTTGCAAGATTCGGTGGGATAGTCGGTGTTGCTGTCGTCAAGGATAAGTGGATTGCGAGGGCGTTCGAAACCTGCGGTCAGCATCCTATGTGTGGATCGACTTCTGCCTTTGATGCACACCTGTCGTCATTGCAAGAGAACACTATTTATTCGACTATGTTGAGTGCATCAGCTCGGCTAACTTTACAATAAAGGAGTTGCTTGTTCAATGCCGTTCGGGGTTACCGACGATGTGCCACGACAAGTTAATGATTGCTACCTTACATTCTGATCAAAATATTTAAATGTTTTCGACCAAGTATGAACATATGATTTTCAATATAACTATAAAATTGTATGGGTATACAAAATATAGTATTAAATTTCGGTCTTAAATAAGGTACCCTCGATACTATGGCGGTCGAAATAACTACCCATCACGAACTCATTCGGCTTAAGTTTCGCTACCCTGGACGAAAAATCCCAGGGTAGTTATTGTGTACTGTACGGTAACGTTAGAAGTAATCGCTCCGACTTGGCGACCTTTCGAAAAACAAAACAGAACTGACCCCCGAGGAAGACCATGGTACGCGGATGCGACGAAAGACATGACACGAAGAGTGAGCTCAACCTGTGTAGACGACGTGCAGTCAAGCCATCAAGGCGTGGGAGGCAAAGGAGAACGCATCGTCGGAGGAAGCCGCGGTAATCAAGCTGTACTGCCAGATCCCGCCGATTGCCAAGCTCGACAACTCGTTGAACACGCTCAAAAATTGCGAGTACACTACGCGTCGACCTAACACCACTCATGCATGACGCGTTGTAGGCACCTTTCCCTGTCGACAAACTGCATTGACAGATTAATCCCGTTGTCTGGCATGAAGAAACTGCGCATCCTGTCGCTGGGCCGCAACCAAATCAAGAAAATCGAAAAGCTCGACGACGTGTCCGACTCGCTGGAAGAACTATGGCTCTCGTACAACACCATCACGTCCCTCGACGGGCTCTCGGGCCTCGCCAACCTCACAACGTTGTACCTGTCCAACAACCAAATAAAAAACTGGGACGAACTCGACAAACTGGTCCGATACCTTCATCGATCTCTCTTTTCTCATTCACGCTGGACATGTCTAGTCGAATCTGCCCAAGCTCCGCGACGTACTGTTCACAGGAAACCCCATTTACGAAGGACTGTCCAAGGAAGAAGCGCGGTTGAACGTGCTCAAGCGCATTCGCAATGTCATGAAGATTGACGGCGATATGGTTAAGCAAACCGAGCGCGATGCGGTCACAGGGCAATAACGTGTACACAAACATTCCCACCTCCAACTACTACCCTTGAAGTACTACTAGTAATAGTAGAGCAGCATGTACTAGTAGTATTACTAGTTCCGTGTTGTTCTATTTTGTCTTGTGACCTTCCAAAAACTTGAGGATGTAGCTAAAGTCCTTTTGGCCGTCGCCTTGGTTTACGACCATGTTGTACAGCTGATGGACGGCCGACGTGAGCGGTACGGACGCTTCCGTTGACTTGGCGGCATCCAACGCCAGCCCCAAGTCCTTACGCATCAGCACCGACGCAAACCCGCCCTTGTACCCGTTGCTCGATGGCACGTTCTCCAAGATGCCTGGGTACGGGTTGTACAGCGTCGACGACCAGCATTGCGCGCTCGACGTGTTCAAGATCCTACCCATCGTCATTAGATACTCTCGTATGTATTCGTTCTTACCCGGCGAGGACTTTGGGGTTGATGCCAAGCTTGTCGCCGAGCGTCATGGCTTCCGCGACGGCCACCATTTCAATCGCCAGCGCCAGGTTGTTGCAGATCTTGGCGGCTTGGCCCGTGGCTACATGACGAAGGGGATGAGATGGAGATGACGAGAGAATCCGTTAGACGTACACACTCCGCCGCAATGCACGATGTTCTTGCCCATTTGCTTCAACACGGGGTTCGCCTTCGCAAACGCATCGTCCGACCCGCCGACCATGAAGGTAAGTGAGGCGTTCTTGGCGCCGTTCACACCGCCAGACACGGGCGCGTCCACCAAGGTGGCGCCGACTTCTTTCACCAAGCGAGCGGCCAGGGTCTTGGTGAAACCAGGGTCGATCGTGCTGGAATCGATCAGGAAATGCGACTTGGTCAACGCATGGATCAAACCATCCTTGCCGAGGTACACCTGTTCCACATGCGGCGTCGAAGGCAACATGGTCACGACAGTCGTAGCTTGAGCGGCAACCTCGCGAGGGGACGACACGACTTCGACCTTGCCGTGGGGGGTGACCGCGTCGATGTTGGCTTGGACCACGTCGAACACGACCACATGGTTGCCGGCCTTGGCGAGGTTGATCGCCATGTTGCCGCCCATCTGGCCAAGACCGATAAACCCAATTGTCTGTCCCGTCGTCGTGCTCATGGAGCGTGCTACACCCACCGACGCATGGAGTTTCAACGCGGCCGAACGAAACATGGCAGTCGAAATCGCAAAATGCACAAGATCGGAGGGGGTGGGTTGTCCAAGCGTCAAAATTAAAATCAATACGTTTGTTGACTTCACTTGAAATTTGTATGGTATTTTTCTTTTTCATTATATAATTTTATTCATTGAGTTGGAGGTTGAAGTCCCATGTTGAACGACAACACAAAACACTTGGAGATGTCGTAATATAAATTCTAAACTAATTACACCCGAAAGTGAATCACGACGACTTCGCCCGTGGAAAAGCACGCCGAAATCAACGTGCCGTCGTGGTTCCAACTCACTTCAAAGATATCCCCTTGACCTTGATATGTCTTGACCACCCCGCCAGTCTAATTCATGCCGTCATATGATTAAGTACGTTGTGTTTATATCATATTCGATGCAGCCCAGTAACAGGAGTTCTAAGTACTCCTCCGAGTAGTAGTACTTCCTCTGGTTACTGCCGACATTTACTTTGAATTGACACAGACAATCGAGCCCTCACTCAATTTGGGCGAATGATACTTTGGCATGAATTTTCGCAAAAGATTATAATCAGCGCTTAAAACAATTGTAAGCCAATGAAATGTCATAAATAGTAATAGAAATTGAAGAATTACAGCCAATGAAATGCAAATGTCGCCAGTAACTTTGAAATGTCGGCAGTAACCTAGGAAGTAGTAGGTATACCAAACCACACCTACCTGCAACGACCACACTTGGACAGCTCCGCTGATACACCCGCTGGCCACGTACTCGCCGTTCGGACTAAACGCAATCGCATACACGGGGTTGCTACAATATCCAAGATGAGAGGGATGTGAGTCAGCAACTTGCGAAGCAACGACACCATCACACATACACACGTACTCGTGCTGCAACGTCGACGTGCATTGACCCACTTGGACATCCCATAACCTGACGGTCATGTCAAAGGACGCGGTCGCGAGCACCGCGGTCCGGTTCGGCTGCGCGGTCCCTGGGCCCGTGGGGCTCCACCGCACCGTGTACACTTCCTTGGTGTGGTCCGTCAGGTCATACACACATGTTGCGTCCGTCTACCCAACATCATATGGTTGGACACAGTACGATCGATATAAAGCAACCGCACCACTTTCCACAGCTTGACGGTGGTATCGTCCGAGCAGCTCGCCAACACGGTTGCGGGGGGGTTCCAGTGGATGGCGTTGATTTCGTCCGTGTGGCCTTTCCATGTCACACACGGACCCGCCGCGTCGTCGACGTTTGTGAGTCGGATGGTCGTGTCTGCCGAGCACGTGGCGAACGTCGCGTCATCCTTCCAGGCAGCGTCCAAGATGGACGCGCCGTCGTGCAGAGTCATCTGCGCCAGCTTGGACGACGCTTGGATGTCCCATAACGACACGGTGCTGTCGAGGCTCGCACTCAGCACCACACGACTCGACGGGTTCCACCGCACGGCAAACACTGGTCCGGTGTGGTGCGCCATGTCCTGCAGCAGAGCGCCTACCGATTGAATCGTTAGGTCAAGAGGCTTAAGAAGGAACGGGTGGGTGGGTTATAAGACAAGACGATCGCGATCTGCGTACCAGAAGTACCCGACCACAGTCGCATGTGGCCATCGTAGCATCCCGTGGCAAGTATCGATCCGTCCATCTAATGGACACACACACACATATCAAACAAGATAGGATGAAAGGAACAACATGAGACAGAGAGGGAGGATGGGACATGGGCACGTACATTCCACTCCAACGTCGTCACGTCCGTCGAGGTGGCGCCGTCGCTGCCGTGTGCAAGCGTGAGGCCAGTCGCGGGAGTCGAAAAGTCGGGCGGAACGTCCCATATCCGCGCGGTGGCGTCGCTGGAGCCGGTCACGAGCGTGTTCTGCCGCGGTTTCCACGAACAGCTGAACGCCTGGAGAACAAAGATGAGGCGGACATGACATGGGTGTGGTACGTACGTCTTTTTCGTGGCCGCGTAGCACGATCATGGTCGTGTCTGCTGCAGGTGGGTCCGCTAAGGCATAACGTGAGCGTATGTATGAACGGACAAGTAAGTGTACCAGAGTCTGTCGTGGGGTTGGTCGAATGGGACGAAGGAGAAGGTTCGTTCGTGGCGGAGACGGTGGTTGTCGTCGTCGCAGTAGTCGTGGTGGGTGTCAGTGCCGGGTCATGCACCGAGTCGGGGGAGTTCGACGTGAGTCCAAGACCAGTGGTCGTGCTGCCGCTGCCGTCATCTGCCTTGCGCTTTCGTTTGCCAGGCTTTCCTCCAGAGGAACTGCTACCCCGCGACACGGATTGCGCGACTCGGCAGATGTGTGGATTCAGGAGCGTGATATCAGCTTCGCATTCACGCTCTGTCCCGTCCTGTATCGATATTAGGTACATTGCACATCGACGCAGTCTCGGCCACATATTACCTCGTTCACGTGTGCTTCAATACCCACATACAGCAGCCCTTTCTGAATGAACGAGATCAATGCGCCGGGGGGCACTTCTGTGGAGATGACACTGCTCTTGGCCAGTTGGCTTTCGTACGCAAACGTGAACGCAGCGTGCGAGAACCCTACGTGCGACCACCCGAGCAGGATATGAGAGGGAGAGGGTTCCATCCAGGAGGAAACTTGGTCGCACATGCACATACCAGATTCCTGAAGGTAACGATACACAAGGAAGTTGACTTCGTCGGATGTGATCGCCATATTCTCGCGCGAGGATCGATCGGTCTCGCACCTCCGCCGCCAATATTATTCGGTTTTAGGCGTCTGGTGTGGAATACTTGCGACCACAACAACGAGGGTACTAGTAGTAGGCATAGAGTGGGCATTTGACCTGAGGCATTTAAAATAGTATACAAATCACTAGTATACATGTCTGACGAGCTATTAAAAATGCAATTGGTTCTTGCTAGTAGGCGTGAACCTTTATAAATGTGAACAATTCCTTTTGCCCAGTACAAGGATTTGAAGCCACACTTTGAATCGAAGTAAATTATTTATTGCCAATTCTGATTGGCCTCTATACTACGAAATTCGATTTCAATGACAAATCAAACCAATTGATTTGTAATTCTTGCGTCTGATTGGCTACAAAACTTCGTACACGTGAACAAAGTTCGTCCAAATATTGCTGTACATATCCAATCAGAATCGTGTATTTTAAACCGTTTAGTTTGATTTGTCAAAATAATCTAAGTTGGCCAATCAGACTTCATCGTTAAGATTCTACGAAGTACTTTGCTAAAAATAGACTAATCTTTTGCAAACCGCCGCCGCAGCCCTTGCAACCACGTACTGATATCCATCAAGAACACTTCAGCCATAGACACCAGAGCAGCTAAGAGCATCCCCACTCGTGGCGCTAAAACTCCAAAACTGTATTTTTTCAGTCAGATTTTATCGTTTTAATTCTCCCACCGCGGGACTCTCTAGCGTCGACGCTATCCGGCGCGCTAAAGTCAGATTATTCGTCAGATTTGACCGATTGGTTAGAGTTCTGGCCAGCATACAATCAGCAATACATTTTCATGTGCATACAATTCCCAACACGTTTAGTTTTACCTGGTTGCAATGGCATGACGCCATGTCGGCCAAGTACAGGTGCGTGTCCTCGCGGCCCCACATAGCGCAAAGCGCCGCTTAACGCTAAGTTAGAGTGAGTCCATGAGTCCTATCTTGTGTATATCTTCGACTTGACTGCATGTGACGTTTGTATGGTGAAGGATGACTGTCAGCATTGGCCATGGCGGCAGTCGTCCTTCGGCATGTGCCAACCTCGCCGACCCTCATGTATGTAATAGATGAGACGAGGTTAATCTTACCGCATACTCCAACTGCATGGTGAGGTCATCCAGGCTAGCAGCCGCCTCCTCCATGTCCGTGGCAGTGCGATCGCCGCCGCTTGGAGTGGCCACTTCCACCTGGCCCACGGCCACTTCACTGCGAGTAGCGCGCACCGCCGCCACCTTAGCAGGACCACTCTTCGCCGCCTTGAAGATGGACGTGCGGTAGTACCCCTTCGCAAAATCTTCCTTGCGCTTTGGGCAGTCCTTCTTTATGTGCACCTTGGCACCTTCGTTGTACTTGCCGTTACAGTAAAAACATTCATTCTGGCCGCCATCCGGTTTTCGCTTGCGCTCATTGGCCAGAATTTGGCCAACCGGAAATTCGTACTTGTTTAGGGATTTTCCAAATCCGGTTGACATCGACAAAATGTCCCGCTTACTTTTGGACCCAAACGTGTTCACCACCAACTGAAACACTTTGTCCATAGTAAATGAATCCTTGGTGAACTTAACCGAGGACCCAAAGTACTGCTGGGGTAGGAGCGATAGGAACAGAGCACCCACTAACTGCTCCGAAACAATTGGCTCGCCGAAGCACTTGACGCTCTGAGCGTTGATGCGGTTCCGTAGGGCACTCATTGCCTTAAAGTGGTCACCCACATGGCGGTAGTCGGACGTAAGGGTGCCGACGAACTTAGTGAGGAGGCCAATGACACCCGTCGCGCTCGACTCCCCAAAATCACGTTCGAGCATGCGCCAGATCTCGGTGACAGTAACGGCTGGGTCAATTAGGGACACGTTGAGCTGGTTAAGGTAGCTCTTCGGTAGGGATTTTGACAAAAGTGAGCGAATCTCCACGTTTTGTAAATCCCTAAGGAGGGTGGCCTCCTGTAGGGATTCTTGCGTTAAGGTATCCGGTAGCGCATCCGGCACACCAGTAAGCCAAGACTCGTACGACACGTCACACACGGCACGCTTGGCGTTTTGGGCGTCAATGCGGGCCTTAAGCCAGCGCTTCTGCAGCTCACCACGGAAGGCGTCCATCCAGGTTTGGAAGTCCTCACGCTTGCCACTGAATACGAGGCGTTGGATGTCGGAGTTCATACTTGAAGTATTAAGATGAACGCGGGCAACACGTGGTGGGGTTGAAAGGGGCTGGTATTAAGGTGCTC